AGTTCAGAATCAGTAGGCAAGAGGCTTGGGAGCACACATGAGCATCACAGCCTACGTAAACCAATGGATTGGCAGCATAGTGTCTGTTACAAGCAAACAAAAAAGCAGCGAAGTGAGTGTACAACCCATTCACAAATAGGCAATAAAAACTGTTAAATTTCATTTAAAAAAACTACATAAATGTGATACTGTGATCATACCTCTGCCCAATGGATAGGATAAGAGAGTATAGGTTGTAAGATACTGTACACCTCTATGATATGATTGAATGTTTTTAGTCAGCTGGTGGCCAAGCAGCTGATGACTGAACCACTAAAGGTAAAGCATCAATGAATCAGCTGATGCCAGTCAGCTACAAGCACAACTTCAGTGCTCTGCATAAACTTATGCAATGATTCATTTAAGCATACCACAAAAAAGGTGCTTTGCCTTAGAAACCCTGTGGGTAAAAAAAAAGGATAGATTTTATTACACTCAAAGAGAACGTGCTGTTTGGTTACAGGCATAATCCAAAGCAGTTCTGATTATGTAGCAGAAAGGGACACATTTTCAAGACACTTAAAGAGACACATTTCAGGCGTGTGGATGGGAATCAGGATTAAAAACATGGACACACGTCATTAGCACACAGGCAATCAATTAGGAAACACTTGGAAACTACCTAATAATGCTTACCTATGTCTCTGCATGGTAGCAAGTAATATGTAATATAATATAATGCGCATACCACATTTAATGTTCACTCTTGCAAATGCATTCCATCTGTAAAGTCAGCCTTAAGAAATGAAGAAAGCCTTGATGATTTTCTTATAAAGACATTTTCAAAAGCTGAAGGTAAACAGAGGTTAAGTTGAGAAGTTAGGACTGGAACTAGTCCCGTAAAAGTAAAAGCCTGTGCTAGTGCCTGAGGGGTTTAGCCAAGACATGAGAGGGTCACAACCTCAGCTGACCCCATGTAGTGATTAACCCCCCATGACTGACAGACTGATGTGTATACTTCCAGACACACAAATGAACTGCCTGCAGATGCTCTCGGTCACACGGGCTGCCGTTGCTTAAATGCCCCCTCATATGTTTCTCCCGCATCTTCCCTGCAGTAGCGCCACAGGCACTTCTTTTTTCAACCGTGTGCGGTCGAATCAAAGGCTCTGTTGTCTCTCCACCTGACGGGTCTCATAACTCCTGCAAAAGTTGTCTTTTCTCTCAACAGTTCCTTGGCCTCTTTAACAAACACGCCTCAAACAGCATATGCACTGTAAAGACAAACCAAAACCAGAGTTTTCCACCTCTTGTTCACTGTAACTGTGCATCTGTTGTTCACAGTAATCCTGTTGAGAAACATCCTCCACGTACATGTAGAAGAAGAAGCCCTGTGCGTGTCTATGTGTGTGTGGTTAGTTAGTCATGCGGCCACAGTAATCTCCGTGAGTGCTGTCTGCTTCCCTGTAAGGCCTGACTCAGCGATGACCTCACCTCCGAGTGGCTGGTTGTGTGTTTTCGTGTCAGCAGGGCTGTGGAGGTGTGTATTTGTGTGGGTGTTGCTGTCCAAAGAGGACAGTAGGTCTGATTTCTTCACATCAAAGTGCCATTTCTAGTGCTTTGTGCAACATCACCAGGGAGTTCACATCATCGCTCTGCATGATGAAGAACCCACACTCTTCCTTCCTTCCCTTCCTACCCTGTCCCTCCTCTCCTCCTCCATCCCCTCACCTCTCCTCTGCTTCTCAGGCTCTGTGGCATCTCCATCTATGCTTTCTCCGGCCTCAAGAGGACAGAGAAAAACAAGAATGCTGGAGGTTTTTCCTGCTGTCTTCCCCCCTTCTCTCTCTCTCTGTCGGCTCCCATCTGACTCCCTTGAGTGCTACATGCTCTCACTGTCCGTGCATGTGTGTGTGTATTTGTGTTCACATGGCTGTGGTGCACCGCGCTGAGGCTCTCCTTGTGTGAGAAATGGCAGCAGCACAAAGAGTGAGATGGAGAGAGAATGTGGTTACTTTGGAGTGTTGCCCATTGAGGACATGGTACTCCCAGTCGCTCGTGGCCACACATACGCTATTCATGTAAACAAGTGTGCAAATACATCGTACACACATACACACACAAATATTCCACCATCTTGAACAGAGCCTGACTGATGCATTGGCATGACCGATGCTACCGTGTAGCTGGCTGATAAAGTATCATCAATCAAATGTTAATATCATCATTGACTACAAAACTACAGTATTGATAATGAACTTAGTTTAGCAAGTTTAATTGAAAAATTTGACCTGCTGGTGGCACTAGAGGAAAAGTCAGTAGGCTTCTTTCAAATTTCATGGCAGCCCTTCCAAATGTGTATGAGATATTTCATTCTGGACCAAAGTGGTGGACTGACTAATGGATTGCCATCCCTAGAGCCACAGTGCTAGTGTGGCTAAAAAATGCCAAACATCTAGGTTCCAGCCTCTCAAATGTGAGGATTTGTTGTTTTTCTCTGTTGTATATCATAGTAAATACAATATCTTTAGGTTTTGACTGCTGGTTGGACAAACAAGACATTTATGGGGGGGGCATGGAGGGCAGCCGGCCCACGAGTAAAATCGTTGTTGCTTGGCAGATTACTGTGTGGATGACTGCCTTGCATGGCCTTTTGTTTCTTGGTGGTAAACTAGTAGCTGGGTGTGGTGATACTGATGTGGCTGTTTCATGAATTTTCTGCCTACTCTGTTTAGCTTTGGCTGCTGCAGACTGCAGACAAATCTCTTCCCTGTTATGTGAAGAGACTGTGGACGGGATGCACAGACTGACAGTTATTATATGAGCAGTCATATGAGGAAATAGGGCTGGGCAATCAAACAATAATGATAATTATCTCGATAACAATATAACAAATGTTCAATAAAGTCTGATTTAATTCATTTGAATCAAGAACTAATTAGCACTTAATTTTTCTATTAAGATATTTATTTTGTTGATCAACAGGGACTGAAGAAAGATTTTACTTAATTTTACTCTTGCATATGTGCTGAATAATTGTTAAATAATCATAATTGTTTTGAATGTTCTACCTCTTTTGATTTGTTAAGTGATCCACTGTTTGGCAAGTGTTTGTTCTGACCATAAAGACTAGTTTAAAACCACAACTTTAAACTTAAAGGTTTAATGATTTGATATTTATTACGATAATTATTGATATGGAATCATATGAAATTCCCTTCCCTAGAGGAAAATATCATAAACTCGCTGTGGAGAAACTGCAAAAGAATGTATGTTAATATGATGTGATAAATCAATACTAAGATAATGTAAATTAAAATAAGTTACTAAATGAATATTTAGAGTAGTAGTATTAAACTGTACCACATGTATTCTAAATCTATTTCATAGTAATATTATACAGGGCTTAAAATGATAAACTGTGAACTAGTGTTCTGATGTTTTACTTAATTTCTTTACCAATATTACTGACTATATTATTCAGTGACTGGAAGAGGGCCCACAAACAAAGCTGCACCCCCCTTCCGTCTATGGGGATTGAGTGGGGTGTGTTTTTGTTTAGGAAATATTTACATTAAGTTCAGATAAATTGATGGTGGAAGTAATCATTAGTTGCAGCCCTATACTTTTCATCACCATGTCCAAAAGCCATTGATATTCCATTTTTATTTCAGTTCCAGTTATAGACATCACAGACAAATGTGAACACATACTCTGGAAACTTGACTCACTTTTCATATACCCACTGAGCTTTAATTCCCACCAATCAGATTATTCTGCCTTCAGTGCAAAACTCCAATCTGCACGTTCATCTCTCCGTCATTTTCGGACACTACACTCTGTCACTGTCCCCGACACTCTGCGCTTCCGACTTTGACAACTTCATTTGCATGGACAGAATCAAAGTCTGCAATGTGTGATACACTGACTCAAATGTACCTTTGCCGAACACCCACGGATGCTGCTGCTGCTGCTGCTGCTGCTGCTGCTGCTGAATCACGATGCAGAGAGAGAAAAAAAAGCTCTTCTTTTATCCCCCTTTCTTGCACATTCTGTCTGACTGCTGATGAGGCTGTTGGTTTTTCAAACGCTGTAGTCGAAAAGAATGCCTTTATTCACATGCTCATATTGGCAATAAGCGGGATATGGTGCACAGATGTTTATTGTGTGTGTGTGTGCGTGTGGCCGGGGGGAGGCAGTTACTACATTTGTGGGGTCCAAAAACCAAGATTCCACTTTACTTGTCACCAAGATGCTGGACCCCACATGTTTAAAGGGCTTTTTGAGGGTCAAGACTTGGTTTCAGGGTTCAGGTTAGAATTAAGTTGAAGTTAGGGTAAGGGGCTGGGTTATGCATTATGCAGGCTCTGTGTGTGTATGTGTGCATGTCAGGATGTGTTTTGTTCTTTTCTGTTGTCTCCTTTTAAAATATCAAATATTGCATGGGCATACACGTGTGTGTGTGTGTCTTTTTGTGTGCATGCATGCATGGTGTGCATGTGTGTGTGTATTTTGGAGTCCGGTGATGTAACTAACCTGATAACTACCTCGGCTGAGTTCTAATCAGATCTCAGACGGACTGTTTCCTGTCAGTAAGCTAAATAGGATTTCCCCAAAATCATATTTTGCTGCCCTGGTCTACTTTATGAGCGGGGACACACTAAACCAGAGTCCCTTGTAATATTTGCTTCATTTACTTTGCTCTTATTACTCCTTAACAGCGCCAGCATCAGCACTTTCGGTATTTATAGCCTGAACCATGAGCTGGTGTTCTCTTTGTTGCAGCGCTTTTATGACACGATTTTCTCACCCGTCCTTTTTTATCTCTCTTTATCTCTACCACTACTCTCTCTGTCGCTCTCCTGCACTGCTTTGCCCGATTTCATTTCCTCCCTTCTCTCTTTCTCCCCGAACTCACTTCCCCTCCTTTCACCTCTGTGTGTCTTGTTCTCCCTACGTCATCTCTCTCCCGACTCTCCCTCTCTTTCTTCCCCCGTTCTCTCTCTCCCCTCCTGCAGAGCCGGACTGGGCGTCGCTGACTTTGGGTGTGTTTGTTTGCCAGGCCTGTTCGCTCCTTCACCGGAGCATTCCCCACATCAGCCGGGTCAAGTCTGTCCAGGACAGTGGGATGCCAGCGAGGTGGAGGTAGAGCAGTAACAGCAAATCATACATTGTACTCGCATTGCAAAATCCCCAATAAAATATATCAATAACATGTGCACATCCTAAACAAAACAGCACTTCCCGCTTTGCTCAGTGGACTGCTGACATTTGATATTTGACTGGTATCACTTTACCCATCTTAGATGCAAAAAAAATAATGGAGAGGCAGGAGATGGAGTAGAGAATCTAATAAAATAGGTGCAACAGAGGATCACCTGGGCAGTGACATGCAGAGAGACACTGAAGTAGCTGACAGAGTGAGAACATTCTACTGAAATTTGTCAGTAGAATCAGATTCAGACAGTAGACTATGGCAAACAAGTATTAACTTTGCATTACGATTATTATATTTATTTATTTCAATTTCAGTGGTTTTAGTAACATATTTAAACTCAAAAATTCACTCATATGTTCCTCTTGAAGAACGTATGAGTGGGAAGTATGCTTATCTCGCTTTCATGCTGAAAATCAACCACTCTCTTATTCCTCAATTTCTCCCCAGGATCAATAATATTTCTGATTCTGTTCTGAAACTGATATCTGTATTTAGCCTAGCTTAGCATAAATATTAGAAACATCTGGCCTAGCTCTGTGCACATGTAAAAAAAACTGTCTACCAGCACCTCTAAAGCTCACTAACTAACACAAAGAAAAGTGTGTAATCATTTCTTGGGTGTGACCAGCTGTCAGGCGTTTTACTGTGCTACTGTTATTTATCTTCTCATTTAACTCTCGGCAATAAAGCGAATACTCGGATTTCCCCAAACTATGCCTTTAAGATCGACACATTTGCACAAGTGGTTCTTGCATGAGGCCAACAATTCTTAACTCTGCATATTAATTGTGTGCACATCCCAGTATGTGCAATATAAGTATGCATATTTAGCATGTGAATGGTATAAATGTGCATACAATACAGACAAGCAATATTAACATGGAGCCCGTGGGATCTCTAAAACCGTGCCATTATTTCTTTGTTGCTATGGAGACGACCCAAGCAGGACGCGGAAACATGTCACTGAAATAAAGGCAACGTGATGGATTTTTGAAACCCGAAGCTGCTCTGCTTGCTGACACATTCCGTAGGTGCAGATCTCATTAACTCAATCCGCTGGCTGCTGTTTATTTTTTTGCTCGGCACTTGCAGGTCAGTGATGGGAGAGAACAGTAGGTTACAACAGGCACAAATCATCAGAGTTTTATCTGGCTTAATGTAGCCAATATCAGTCAGTTAAAAATGCTTTGATTGGCTGTGATACCAGCGCATCAAAATGTCTTTAGTCCTTGTGCAAGACATCTTCAGCTGACCTCTGACCTCCCTTTGGGAGGAGAGAATTTCCTCACAGCAATCAATGAAGTATTATTCCATTAGTGAGATTTACACTTTTCTCCTGTGAGTAAAAAGAAGCTGAGCTGGTGTGTGCCTTGCAAAAATGCCCTCTTCAGAAATATGTCAGCGAGAAATAATAGGAGTTCTGTGCTAAAGTTTAAAAGCAGAAATGCACATTTTGAGGTTGTCATTTGTAAGAAATAGTCAGGAATGTGCTTTTGCACTGCTGAGCAAAGGGTGTAGTTGCCCCTAAACAATGGTCCATGTCAGTGCTTTAACGCCACCACTGGGTGACAAAAAGGACTTTCGGGGAGGTGATGCTGATATTAGTCATGAGGATAGAGGGAAGTTGGAGGACAATAATTGGGATGTAATGGGTATTTGACTTAAGAGGAGAGTGGGAAGATGTAATGGGGAAAAATGTAAGCAAGAGTATTAGGTGATTGAATGACTGGATTTGATTGCAATGTAGGAAAAAGGGCAGTGAGGGCTTTATGTCGTCTTTGTTAAATCCCCCTACTGTAATTGCTGTATTGGAAGAGTTAAGGGGTTATTTTGAGATGCAGGGTTTATTGTTGAGACTTTAGGAGCCATTGTGGTCCCACTTCAATAAAACATCCACAATCAGAGGAGCCACTTTTGTCTACCAGCCACTTAAGTAGCCGCACCTACCTAATACTGGATAGTCTTGAGTTTAACAAGGTGCCCCAAATGTCACACAGGGGTCTTTCTTCACGATGACTTAGAGTGATGACGCCACTAAACTTCAGCTGGTGTTTCTGATATTTGCCTCCTGTCCCAAAGGGAGGATGTGATGACTGAAGGAAGGTGATTGTCAAGTCCTTGGAACTGTCTTGAGATGAATTTTCCTAAAATAATTAGGCATTTTATTCTGAAGAATGGCTTTATGACTTGTGAAAGCATTTTACGGCCAAACAGGATAGCCTTATTAGGGGGTGAAGGACAGCATTGGAAAATAGCAGTTTGGTAAGTAAAAACTACTTAAGGTACAGCTGCGAGCAATGATCGGTATCTAAGCGAGTCACGATAAACGCAACATTTGACATTTTCAGAGGAGAAGAACAGATGCAGAAGACTTAAGGGATTAAAGTGATGAAAGAATTTGGACTTTGAGATAATTGCGGAAACGCAAACGTGATTTTTACAGCATCACTTTGAGATCAGAGAGTGTCATTATATGTACCTTACTACGGGGTGAAATGTTCAACCCACCTGCAACATTTTGTGTTTACTAGATTTAAAGTTTAAGCTGCACAGAGTCTTTTTAGCAGAGAAAAATGAGAAGAAAGTGTCACGGGATCCAAATAAGATGGTCACCTTAGACTCACTATGATCTGAACACCCTCCATTGTCCGCACATCTGACTGGCTCACCGGGGGATTTGAACCGTCAAGATGTTGGTGAGAAAATTCTGACAAACCGGCAAAATGATCAATGATTATCATTGATCATTTTGCCGGTTTTTAGGTGTGTTGTTAATTATTTTTGTGGTTTGTAACCTACATGCCAATTTCGGTGAGTTTTCTGCATATTCAGTGGATTACTTCAGAAAGTACGTATGACCGTTTTATACAATGATAGAAGAAAAGGAATTTGAAATCATGAGAGACTGGATGTCATGCTGTTTGTTGCCAAAGGTAGGGGGCACCCAGATTTGAACTGGGGACCTCTTGATCTGCAGTCAAATGCTCTACCACTGAGCTATACCCCCTACAGCAACAGCTTTTCCATTGCTCATTGATAGTCAGGTAAATGGGCATTTCGATAAAAATATTTATAAATCATTTTTATATGAAATAAGAGAGGACATGCACTAATGTGGTGGTGTAACGTCCGTAGATGATCCTGCCAAAGTTTCAGGTCAATTGGTGAAACCGTCTGGGACGAGTTTGCAAAAATAAGTTTTAGGTTTTAGAAAAGTGATAAAAAGTTGTATAATTTGACATTTTAAGAGCAGAAGACCATTGGAGAAAAGATGCAGATATTATAATATTGAAAGAAGTTCCTCTCCAAACAAAGCCGTTTTCGAGATAATTGCAAAAACGCAAGGTATAGCGCCACGAGTAGTGGGTGGAATTTGAAACCTACATGCCAATTTCGGCGAGTTTTCTGCATATTCAGTGGATTACTTCAGAAAGTACATATGACCGTTTTATACAATGATAGAGCGCTTAAAGAAGTTGAAATCATGAGAGACTGGAAGTCATGCTGTTTGTTGCCAAAGGTAGGGGCACCCAGATTTGAACTGGGGACCTCTTGATCTGCAGTCAAATGCTCTACCACTGAGCTATACCCCCTACAGCAACAGCTTTTCCATTGCTCATTGATAGTCAGGTAAATGGGCATTTCGATAAAAATATTTATAAATCATTTTTATATGAAATAAGAGAGGACATGCACTAACGTGGTGGTGTGTCTAAACACGGACAGTTCTTTGCTTAGAGTCATTACAAGCGGAGAAAAAGAAAAAAAGAATGAAGAAGAATAATAACAAAACCAGCTTTGCTGCTTGGATCCCTAATGACTTACAAAAAGTCTTGAAAAGAAAAGAGTACATTTCTGAAAAGATGGTAAATTCTTAAAACACAATAAAACTTTAAAATCAGAGACGTCGCTTATCAAGCTTTTTGTGCTTAAACCATGCACACACTCATTTCTACGCACAGAATCTGATTTATCCATTTTTTGTTGTGCCTACGAATGTATGTACCACACCTACCCCAGTGGGTCACAGGCGTAATCGCAGGGAAACGAATACCTAAATTCAGTCAGGACAACTTTGTCAAGTAATACTTTATTGTTTGCAGTAGTTATTTTTGGCTGTGTGGCTCTGTTCTGGGACCCCCTGCCTCTCCACATGCGTACGTGGACGGACATAAGGCAGGGAGAGCAAGTTATTTATTTTACTTTATATTATGTTACCCTAAGCATGGCCATTTCCAAGATACAAAAAACCCTAAATATTATTTTATGTGTCAGCAAATAGACATTGAGCTTAGGGGGTGCGTGTTACCCCACTCTACCCTACTGTCAAGTAGATGCTGAGCTGAAGGGCTTATGCAAAATGTCCCTGATCTTGTGCTTTGATGATACTGATATCATGTTCAAAATGTCATATCTGAGGCGTCAAATGCATCACGGTTTTGGCAGCAGATGTGTCACATGTCACTTTCCGTGACTTTCCTTCTTTCGGTTGAATTTTCTGCCGCTATTTGACCTTCACAATAAAACGCCACAGTGCTGCATCCCTTCCAGAGCCCCTCAGAGGATAAGAGAGGCATGTTGAGGGATTCAGCCAGCTGGATTGGATTCAGGGATTATCCTTGGATGAAACGCACAATGGAGGGAACGAGGGTAGAAGGCGAACACGTCTCAAGGCGGTGTAGCCATTTCTACAATTAATCCCATAGCAATGCGGGGGCCTCATTGTCAACTGACGAAATTCCATAATACATAAGATTTTCTATACTTTAGAGCATTTGCTGTTGTCTCATTTTGTTATTATTTTCTTTTTCCTATTGTGGTTTTGTTGTCACCATTCTCTAGGTCTTACATCCTTGGCTTTTATTATGTGAATGTGCTTAAAAAGTGTTTCCTATTAGCATCTTATTTCAGAATTTCTTCTTTGTAGCATAGGAATGAATATAGGTATTTGTTATTTTGAAATTATTATTTTGAAAAAAAGTAACAATTGAAGGAGAAATTTTATTAAAAATTCCACCCTTTCTATAAGATTGTAAAAATATAGGCCATTATTGTATAACTGCACAGTGTAGATCTACTCAAAATGTTTATGGCAAGTATGTTCCCAAATCTTGAAATTCAGATGTAAACATCCAGAATAAAATAACTGTGGCTGGTTAACAGCTGGCTAAATATGTTGTTAGATAACATTTATCTGGACATCTGAAATAAGGAAACGACTGTCTATTCTATTGAAGTGAATGCTTGACTGGGAACAGTATTTGGATGACCAGGCTGTGTTGTCCTGTCTCCCTCACAGTTGATGGCTGCTACGGGAAACAATGCAGCCAAGGCCAAATATGAGCAGAAGGTTCCGGCTTTCTACTACAGACCAACACACACTGACTGCAAGTAAGTAATTGTTGTTTCAGTAGTAAGCTAACAGACAACACTTTGCTAACTGAGCTGACTCCCAGTAGGCTACCACTAGCAGTAGCAATTTTGAAGCACAGACTGGTACTAGAGACAGTAACTTATTTTACAGTCAATTTTACAATACCTTTTATGCCTGGTTATTCAATATGGTAACAGTCAGTTTCTGGTGTTTAGCTAGAACTGTATTTTGTTGTTTCTTATATGTTTTCTCTTTCATATATCGTAAAAAGATAGAAAATGGTGTGTCTTTTTTGGGTGCTAAAACTGTGAAAATATACATATTTCCTAATAGTGAGTTGACTTAATTTTTAATAATAATAATAATTTACTGAACTATTTCACAAATGGCTGATTTGTCTGACTTCATTTATTTATATGATTATTTATTTTGTAAACCTGTGTTAATCTGATGCACAACAACATAAAACTGATATGGCGAACATTTTCTCAAATAGTTGCCTGATTACACATCTGGCAGGCACAGAGCCAAGTTATCATCATTCATTTGGAGGTTTGGTTCCTGGCTCTTGTTGAGCTCACAGTCCTACGGCCATACCGCCTGCAACTGAATGCGAAAAGAAAATGCTGAATGCAGAGGCAGTTATGCTGCATACTGATAATTGTGAAAGTGATGCTAACACCATGTAGTGCAGTGGGACATTGTTACTGTATATGAAAATATAGTATACTGTTTCACTCCTCTGACTGTGTATATCACTTCCTCTTCCTCTTTGTGTGTATACTGTAAATGGCCTAAAAAGCTTTTACACTGAACTATTTCCTGTTGTTTAAGAACTGTGAATCACAGTGAGTGGTAAATTAAGCATAAGCTTAAAAGTTCTGAAAGCGTAAAATTAAATCTTATCTGGAGGCCGTCTGTATATGTATGTAACAATCATATATTTTAGAATCTGCTGAGAATACCTTTTCCGACCTCATATTATTTGGTTTAATAAGCTGATGTAGTGACATCAGTTTTTCTTGGACATTTCAGGCTTTCTCATCCATCTCTCTCTCTGTGCCTCCCTCCGACAGAATTTGATTAAAATAGACACTATGAAAGGTAGAGTGAGAGAAAGCTCAGATGAGAGAGAGCAGTGACTTTCTCAGTGTCTGTGCCATGGTGCCTGTGTTCACTCGCTCCACTCCCCTGAGAACCACAGGGCCTTGTGTTTAAGATCCAGTCTCACTGTAGAAGGAAAAAGAGTGCAACATTTTACCCCTTGATGCCAATAGAATGGCTGTTTCATTACTGAAGAAGAAGAAGAAGAAGAAGAAAAAGAAGAAGAGATAAATGTCTAGTGAAGGAGAGAATGAAAGGTTGAGGTAAAGAAGGAAACATGATGAGAGAGATTGTTGGCATGGTGACGTGTTGACTGTTGCCATTTGTATCTCATCACACTGAACTTGGTCTAAAATTTGATTAGATTTGGTAGAAAATGTGGAAACAAAGGCAGTGATCGTGTTAGACACTGAATGCATTATGTTTCATTGTGATGATATATGTGTGTTGTAGAACATGAGCTCACAGGCTATTTCATTATTTTCGAATCAGGATTAAGTAAGAAACTTAAATCAACAAAGTGGAAGTGTTAAAAAGGTTTAATGCTCTGCCACTGTAGTGATAGTTTAACAGTTTGATGAGAAGATCGATACCTCACTGGTGGGGGTGTGTTAAACATGAAGCACAGCCAGCAGCCACGTAACTTAGCCTAACCTAAAGACTGGAAACAGTTGGAAACAGCTAGCCATTCCAGTCTTTATTCTAAATTAAGCTACCTGGCTGGCAGCATTATATTATATTTACTGGATTGGTATTTGAGAGAGATATCGATCTTCTCATCTAAATGGAAAAAACGCATATTTTACAAAATCTCAAACTATTATAACTATTTAAATAAATATTCCAATGTATCAATCAATCAATAAATGCTAAGCTGATGGTCCTCATCAGAAGTGACAAGGTTGTTATAGTTTTGCATTTTTCAGTAGTTTTTATTTTTATTTCGTTTTAACATTTTGTTTTCAAGTTCAGTTTAGTTTTATTATTTTTAAAAGTGGGTTTGCTGGTTAAGTTTTTTGAAAATGCTTAGTTTCGTTAAAAATACCAAAATACAAATGTTTATTGATGCTTTGTTGTTCCTATACTGTGTAGAAAAAATTCCGTACTAGATGTGTGTAGAGCAGGTCAGTCAGTGAGTATGTACTTGATGTGAAAGCTAACTGTGTGTGTTTTTTCCATGTCTCCAGGCTGCTGAGAGAGCAGTGGATCAGAGCGAAGTACGAGAGGAATGAGTTTGAGTTTATCGAAAAACAGGAGCCTTACTCTGCAGGTATGTGCATGCTGACATGTTGTACTTGTGAAGACCATCATCCAAGCTGATTGTTTTTCAAGCACAAGCTGATTTCAATGATTAGTACCCCTCTCTGACTGAAATAAGGCATGGCCACACAACTTATTTAATGATTAAATGTACATTGAAAGGACTTGGTCTCAGCTATGAACACTGTAGTTTGGCATTTATGTAAATACACATATTTGCTTTCCCTGCAACCCTGTATTCAGGATAAGCGGTTGATGATGGATGGATGGACATATTGCTTTCTTGACGATTGCTAGATAAGAAGATTGATTCAACTCTCCTTTCTGTACGGCTCAGCTTTGGTTTTAGGGGGGGCTATGTGTTGAACAATTTTTTGTGCAGCGCAGTGACTTCCTGGAGGCTCCGCTGGTTTGCCTTGGCCCAAACCAGTCCAGAGCCAGGCTAGCTGTTTCCCCCTGCTTTTAGTCTTAATGCTTAGCTAAGGTAAGCAAACTATCTCCTGGATGTAGCTTCGTATTTACTAGGCAGATATGGAAATGGTGTCAATCTTCTCATCTAACTCTGGGCAATAAAGTTATTTCCCAAAATGTGAAATGCATTTGAAATTAAAATGTTATGTTATGTTAATGCTTAGCATTCAGAAAAAAGCTTTACAAACACCTCTGTGACACTGAAGTCTAAACTTACCGTAATTGTGAATCACTCCTCACTCAACCCTTTATCTCTGCCACTTGCGTTTTTACTAAAAAATGGCGACTTCCACCACCGTTTCTATGCTAATAACTTTGCTAAAAGGTAGCAGTGTTTTTATATAACAATTTTCTATAACTAGCCTGTAAATAAACTCATCATAATTTTCTAAATACAGACAACAAATAACACCAAATAAAGATAGTGTTACCATGTTGCTACATTTCATTATAGCCTGTGTCTTCTAATGTCACAAGCTGGTAATTAGAGAAAAAAGAAAATTCTGTACCAACATTCACGCATTCATGCACAATTACACTCATTTACAGATTCCACCCCCCCCCCCCCAAAAAAAAGAAGCAAAAATGGCTGTTCTGTTGTTGTGACAGTCTTGCGTTGTTTACCCTTCAGTTAACAGAACCTTGAAAACTCACTGGACAAACACTTCCCAGTGGATTTTCATCCTTCTCCTAAGTGGTTGCGTATATGTTTGCAGTTTAAAGTGCCATCGTTATATTCAGACAGTGACACTGTAATTGTCCCTGCCTGAGAATAGAGCCATTAAACAACGTGTGTCTGTGTTTGGTTGACTGCGTGTGTGTACAATATTTGAGTGTGTGTGTCTATTTGTATACATTTCACTTCCTGTTGAAGGTGGAGCTTTGTGATTGGCTCGCAGTGACCTCATCCATTTATTGTTACGGGGTAGAACCATGCACTCACGCGTACACAACCACACATGCACATAGAGAGTAATAAAATGAGTCATTCTGTCATCTCCATTTGTGCATTCATGCTGTCTTCATAACTCATTGGGAGGTGCTAGACGTCTGCGTATGTGTGCGTGCATACAGTCTATGATGTGTGTGTTAGCTGAGACTGACTACTGGCAGTAACCTGGCCTCCACTGCGGCCAATGTTAATATTGATCCAGTATGCAAAGGATAGGAGGAAGAAAAAAAGAGTGTCAGAGAAGGAGGACGAGGGTGGGGGACAAGGAGTGCTATTGATCGATGATGTAATGCCAGTGTAGGTGAATGTTTCATGTCAGAAAGTCACAGCCACAAAGAAACACACACACAAAGATGGAGTGGAATGAGTGCAGAGGACAAGAAGACAATGGTAAACAATGGAAGTGGGCATTAAATAAGGAGAATATAGATCAGCAGAGTAAAGAAATTGTGTGAACATGAAATTTAGGCATATGAAGGATTAAATGAGCATACATGGAAAATTCTGTACATACTGTGAGATTTTGGCTTTTGATGTTCTTTAACCACATCAACCATGAAGCCTGCTAAGGAGGTCCATCAGTACAAACTCATGTTGCATCGACAAGCATTGAGCAAACATAATTTTACTTTAAAGCTACACTTAAACATAAAAATGTTCACATTAATTATGATTGAAATGACTGCATGTCAAAGGGGTCGTCCATAGTGACAAACTCACAGAGAATTACCACTCTCTCTGCAGTAAATCTTAACCCTACAAAGCAAAAAAAATAAAATCCTATATATCCACATTACACTACCTGCCCAGCACCAAACACATAGCACACAGACAAAGTTAGCAACTAGCTGGCGGAGCATTTAGCAGCTGAAGAGCCAGATATTTCCCTCAGGAGTTTGTGGAGACCAAAAGGGAGCCACAAAGGAGGCACGTTCACCAAGTGGCCAGAGACACAAATTCAAATAAATGTTGTTCCGTGTCTGCTAGATGTGTAAATAGGCAACTGTTTGCTAACATGCTAACTTTATAAGGTTGAAACATGTCTTGTTCTGCTACCCCCAAGTTTTTTAATTCTCAAGTCCTAGTTAAAAGGCTGGTTCACACAAATTAATTAATTTAAATACTTTCATGTACAGTAGTTTTAGTTTTATTTGTCCAGGTTTTAAGATATCTGTCTATGAGATATCTACCTTCACAACAATACAATGCAGTTGAATACAAGTTTTTTTTGTCGGATTCACACCATTAATAATGTATGTTAAAAAATATCCTTCCAGGGACAGTATCCTAATTACTGGATGGATAATCATCAGCCTGACCCTGAACAGTTTTCAGTGGAGCTTCTTTCTACTGAATAATAGTACCTAAAAAACAGTACAAGGTCTGTTAATAAACCTGAGAAAATGAAACAAAAACTATCTACATGGTTGGATACCACTTTAGGTATCTTGTTAAGATCCTGTTACTTATTTGATCTTCCCTCTCGTGAATTTCTTCCTCTTTTATTCACATGAGAAGTCTCTCTTTTAAACGTGTTATTAATTAATTTTATTTTTTATTTTTATTTTTTCACATAATCATTCTGGGCAAATTAACTCCTATTTCAACCCTCACTTGTCATTTTCAGTGTAAGTTTATTCTACAATTCGGCACTCATTATAATACACTCTGGATAACATCAGTAAAATTGCTAAAACAAGAATGTGTCGCTTCTTTGGAGTGCCACTTGATTATGCTTAGGCACCTTCTTCCCATTAAGCTACAAAAATAGATCCGGATTAAAACAGAAAACACTTCACAGCATGACCAAAATAGAGGAGAAAAGAGAAACATAGAGAGTGTAGGCAGAGCCTTTTACCAAAATAGACTGAAGAAGAAGAAGACATTACAGGCTATAAATAGAACAGCAGATCATTAACATAGAAAAGGATGTTCTTTGGTACAGAGACAACAAAATCTCTCTGTGTGCTGTCTCTTCCTGCTAAATCCTTCCCTCTCGTCTGTTTGCTTCTTGGATGTTGTGTTTTCTCTCTCTCCTCCCTCCTCTTCTAAATAAGATTTCAAATGATCTTTGATTTCTGCTTAACTGAAGTATCATTTTACACCAACCAGTTACAACATCGCACCATTACTGTTATAAATGCCTCCTCCGTTTAATCTCTCATCTCATCTGCTGTGATGGCTTTTAGATATCAACCCCCCCCCCCTTCTCTCTGCCCAGGGTACAGAGAGGGGTTTCTATGGAAACGAGGAAGAGACAACGGTCAGTTTCTCAGCCGAAAGTTCATCCTGTCGGAGAGGGAGGGAGCGCTGAAATACTTCAACAAGCAGGATGTAAGATGATACGGTTGATTTTAAAGGGTGTTTACAGTAGCAACATTTCTCTTTGGTAAAAGCCAGTAATACTCAGGAATGTGAGACATGTCCTATTTGTTGTTCATGTCTTCCTCCACAAAGGCCAGGGATCCCAAAGCAGTGATGAAGATTGAGACCCTCAATGCCACCTTCCAACCGGCCAAGATTGGCAACCCCTGTGGTCTGCAGATCACCTACCTGAAAGACAACAGCACAAGGAACATCTTTGTCTACCACAGTGATGCTAAGGTACACTGTCAAGCACTTAAAAACATTCATGAATTCTAAAATCTGTTTTCTACAATGCAGTGACATGCTTTTTTATATGGCTTTTTTATATGCTCACTGTCAAGTCTTAGATTGCAGTAATACAGAGTATGATGACCTTATAGGGCTGGATAATAAAACAATAACAATAATTATCACAATATAATTTGTTTCAATAACAATATAACAAATGGTCAATAAATATTCAATATATTTTTGATTTTATTCACTTGAATCACTTGAATTAGGATTTAATTTTTTTTAAGATGTTTATTTTGTTGAGGAAAAAGGACTGAAAAAAGCTTTTACTATATTTTATTCATGCATATTTGTTGACAAAGATGTTATCATAATTGTTTTAAATGTTCTACCTCAGATTTGTGAAGTGATCCACTGTTTGGCCTCAAGTGTTAACTATAAAAAAAGAGTTTATACCACAATTAACCATCAGGTTTCTTCAACTTTTACTCAGGAGCAAAAATCAGCGTTTAAACTCAAAAGAAAGAAAGATTTGATACTTATCATGATAATTACTGATATCGAAAGATATGAAACTTTTTATCGTGATAACATTTTTGGCCATATCGTCCAGCCCTAGTACCTTGTTGACCTTGGTTCAAAGCTGGGTGGGGTGACTGCTCCCTCCCTTTACTGCAAATGGCACTAATGTGGATTTAGTATATAATGCATGCTGTCTGCTGTACTAAACCACACTTGTACATAAAAGATTCCCTTAATTTATTTATTCTTTGGGGGGTTTTCTGTACTCATTTGTGTCATCAGTGGCTTCAGTAGCTACAATTCAGTCAGAAAGTATTTAGATAGTGACAGATTTTCATTGTTTTGGCTCATAAATAATGACTATGAGCGTAAAGTGCTGACTTTTAGATTTAATTCAAAGGTGTTTGCTCAATGTGCAACCAGTTTGGATGTGAGTAACCTCAAACAACCTTAAAACTGAAAGCACTTCACATCATAGGCATTGTTTCATTCCAAAGATCAAAGCCAACACATTAGAGAATGTGTTGCTGTCCTACAGCTTGCAGACTGCACTGCATGTCAAATGTGAAGTAAGTTGTTTTTGAACGTTTTGTTTTATTATTTTGGCTCTGTTTTCTTAAATGGCTTTGAATTGAATCCAGGCAGCATTACAGAGAAGAACTGCTGAAAGCCTGAGTGACAATGACCTTCTACTCTAATGATGCGTAGCCTGTAAGCTAGTTACTGAGTGTCTTTCACTTCTGTCACTTGCTGCTTGCGCTTGCCGCAGCTGCTGCTGCTGTTCGTAAAGCATTTTGAAAGCTCCAGCATCCACCTATAGGGTCTGGGTATACCTACCCCCAGGGGTAGGGGAAGTAATTATGGTCACTCCCTACTCCTTGCTGTGCTGAGCTTGGTGCCTCCTTGTGGGGAACGATGAGGTCAGAGCCTAGACACCAAATGTCAACGCTGTATATACTACATTCACATATGAATCCATTCCACATAAGTTGACTGACTGAAATGCAGATTAATGTATTTTAGTTTTTATTTTTTTCATTGTATCTGCAGTAAAGCAGTTATAGTATTGTTATGTTGTTTAGTTTGCAAGGTCCCATAATTTCCATATGATTTACTATGGAGGTTCCTAGATGAAAAGCTTTAAGTATTGAGCCAAAACACTGAGTATCCAATGTGTGTGTGTGTGTGTATGTGTGTGCCGTGCCCTCTGTCTCTCCAAATAGGGAGAGAGGGAGAGAGACCATCCAAAATGAGACAATTAGAGAGAAGAAAGATACAGATACTATATTCCCATTCAGGAGAGTGAGTGGGGCCTGATACAGAAATAGCGCTGCTCCCTCTGCTGGCTGAGTTCTGTTACTGAAGGCTGTGACAAAAAGAGTTCATTGGGTTCACTCAGTGTCACCGTCACTCTTTTTCTGTGGTGGAGTTATTGACAGCACTGCAGCATTCACACAGCACAGATGCCTTTGACTGCACCTTACTGTGTCGAAAAGATACCTTCACCGGCATCAGAGAAGAAGCACCACATTATTCACTCAGAACCCAAAATACCTTGGGTACTTACTGTGAATAGATACTGTTGGCATTCCAGCAGGATATGTTGTCGCTGAGGGTTTTTTTTTTTTTTTTTACAGGAGATGGTTGACTGGTTCAATGCCATCAGAGCGGCCAGGTTCCACTACCTACAGGTGGCCTTCCCTGGAGCAAGTGACGAAGAGGTGAGGATTTAATCGCACAACACATGGAGCTTGTTGTCGAGAAATGGTTTGTCAAAGGTGTCACGATGCTTTCCCAAACCAAAAGTGGAACATCAGGAATTATGCAATTTTCAGTGTTTCAGTGTGTAGTGCTGTTATTATCACCAGATTTGAGGAATTATTCATTTGGCCTAAGGCAGATGACTTTCAGGTGTTGACCTTTGAATGTTTTTGTCCCTTTAAAATTGAAGAAAAACCCCTCGACTAATTCATCTTGTTGTACAGTATGTGACAAGCATTACTTTTAATATTACATGCATGCTTTTATATGATTCTCTGTTGTCTTGTCTTCCTCCAGCTGGTACCCAAACTAACCCGAAACTTCATGAAAGAAGGCTTTATGGAGAAAACAGGTCCAAAGGTTTGTGATGTGGTTATACTTACTGAATCCTACTACCCCTCTAAACACCTCAATTTCAGTTACATTTCCCCAACTCCAATGTCTGAGGGTTAAGTATAGTACAATGGTTTCCAACTCAATTTTAGTAGCCAAGGGTTCAGCTTGTTGACACATGCAGACAGCCTGTAGCCCTATTATGACGAGTTTGCAGTGCACTGCTGACTCGCTTTTGTTTTCTCTCTTTACATTGAATTGTCTCTCTTCCTACAGCACACAGAGGGCTTCAAGAAGAGGTGGTTTACTATGGATGACAGAAGACTCATGTACTTTAAAGACCCTCTGGTAAGAAGAGAGCTACGCACTCACAACCATTCCTATCGTTCTAACAGATCGCTTAGTTTGTCTACAGGACGCCTTCTTTCTGTCTCCTAGGATGCCTATGCCCGTGGTGAGGTGTTCATTGGCAGTAAGGAGAACAGCTACACTGTCCTAGCCGGTTGCCCCCCTCCACACAGGGCTACCACTGGAACAATGGCATCACCATTGTCACGCCAGACAGGAAGTTCCTGTTTGCCTGTGAGACCGAGGCAGAGCAGCGGGATTGGATAGCTGCCTTCCAGAGGGTTATTAATCGACCAATGAGGCCACAGGAATATGCAGGTGTGAAAAATTTCTGTTTCTATGTTTTTGACTGCTAGTAGCACAATGGAGGTGGTAGAATGTACTTATCTACTTGGGTGCTAAAAGTGCATCACGCAAGTTATGCATGAATGTCAAAAACTAAAGATGCCGGGCTAATTTACTAATCATGTTTGAACACAGTCCCTCTCCACTTCTAAGGATTTGGATATAAGGCAAGTTCCGTAGGCATCAAAAACAAAGCATTGGTTCTGCACAATGTTGAACAACTTGTACTAGTACTATTAGTGTGTTTACTTCAGGGATTATTCAAGTACCATCTTTGAGCTAAAGACTTCTTGTTAGTTAATAGTTGAAGTTTACCCTGTTCTTATGGACACATTTTGGCACTATGTCACAGTTTTTTGTTTCTAGTTCTGTATTCTGTCTCCCCTACTCTTTGTTTTTCTTGTTTTTCTTTTTAACTAAAATAAAAGAGCACATTGTAGTTTCTGTGTTTATTACCAAAGCATTTTATCAGTAATAGTAGTTAAAATAGGGAAATTGTGAAAAAATTACGTTATACGTCGATATATGTTTTCTCTCTGTTCCTGCTCAAGTAGGATGAGGGGCCACTGTTACGTTATTGTACTTCCTGTAGTTTTTCCTTACTTTGAAGTGAAACCCGCTGTATGTCCACCTAACTGGTGACCTGACTGGATGTGAAGCCCAGTGGCCCAATGGATAAGGCACTGGCCCTAAGCCAGGGATTGTGGGTTCGAGTCCCATCTGGGGTG